ACGTGAACAAGAAATTCTCCACCCAACGGACAGATTTGCAATGCCATCGTCTGCACATTTCGCTTAAACTAATTACAATATTTGAACAGATTGTATTGAATTGTTTTCTAGGTCACTAGATCTAGCTTATGCATCGTTATGTGATCGACCTTGAACTTGTTGATGTGTCTGTCAAGAGAAGATAATGCATTTGTTTGTAACATCTGCTGAGTGAAGAAAAAAAATTCTATGGAAAAACCAAGACTTCGAAAAACGAGGCGGTCTAGTGAAATAATGAAAAAATGGTAATGATAGCGCTCAGTGGATCTCATTCTTTTTCAGTGCATGAACCCAATCTTTAATTTTTTTTTCAATGTAGATAACAAACTAAAGACCTTTTTTGTATTCAGCATTTTTAAACTTTTTTTTTTTAAAATCTTAAACTAGTGCTCATACATCACATAATAAGACTTTTCTTACATTTTAAAATTTAAACAAAAAATATATCTTTCGACATTGATAGCAGACGACAGATTGAGAAGAGTGCTGCTTGTGATTCAATGTAATGTTATCTCACTGACCTGCAGGCCTAGCACTCGCAGGTGTGAACTAGTATTGGTTTTGTTCATTTCTTGGACTCGATTGATTACATATAAGACAAGAACGAAACTAAACATTATGGAGCGTGAAAATATCTATAAAAAAATCTGTTCCTATTTTTTTTTTTACTTTACTTTACCATATTAATATATATAAATTTTCAAGGCCGGCCTTTGATGATTGGAGGCCCTAGGCAAAGTGAATTTGGTGGTCCTGAATGAAATCGAGTTCTTTATCATCGAGACAGGTGTGAGACAAGGGTGCATCTTGTCCTCTTAGCCATCAACTACATAATGAGGAGAGCAAACTGCCTTCGGTATTCCATGGCGTGAACAAAATCGAATGACAGACTTGGACTTTGCTGATGACGTTGCACTACTCGGGTCTACAAATAAACGCATACAAGAAATGGAGAGCTTGGATAGAGAAGCACCCAAAATTGGCCCCCAAATAAACTTGGATAAGACTAAAATTGTGCAAGTGGGATATAAGGCAAAGGGTACATCTGAAAAAGTATGCTACATGTCTCTCTAAGTTCCATCTACCAACTTTTAGTCAACAACCTTCCTCTACGAAATCCAAGGCTCCCCGGGCAAACCACGCCCAATCACGTGATCGAAATGACGCCACAAGTTGTCTATGCATCTCTTGATGCAATTGCCTTTTATGGTGATGTGTAATATACAATTCCAGGAAAAGCGAAAATAAAATGCTGAGCTGTAAGGGTAGAATTAAAATAAACTCGCCCAGTCTGCTACGTGACAATAATAGATCAAAGTTAATTGCAAATAAAGTAGATGTTAAAATTTAAAAAAAGAATGGGAGAACCTTTCATTGTAGGTCGCCTCTGATATGATAGAGAAGAACTTATAAAATAACTAACTTTAATGCATAGAGTTAGACGCATATCAGTCAGAGAGAGAGAGAGAAGAAAGATTGATAAATGGGTACAGAGATTATTTCAGAATGGGAACCTCGGAGGATGGACCACGAAGACAAGGTCGCTAGGTAAGTCAAAGGCCGGCTAGACAACGTGACAGAGTGGACTGGTCACTGTAAAAATATCGTTAAAAATCAATTACCATGTTATTTGTAGCCCCCCCCCCCCCCCCCCCCCCAAAAAAAAAGGACTAAATATTGTGTCAGCATTTGATTCTTGTCAAGATGGAATAGCTTTTGTTAACGGGAATGAAGTTGGTTGAATTTCTTGTGAAACATGTGAGTGACATTAGTAAAGTCAAGGTCATCCATCGTTTTAAAAGCATTCCATGACCAGTAAGAGGGATAACTTATTTTCATGTGTACTCTTGTTAAAAATGGATATGTCTGGTTGGATTATTTCCCCTTTGGTATCGAACGAAATATATTTATTTCTCTCTCTTTTTCTAATATTTTATTTGAATAATTTATTTAGCCTACTTTTCAGAACTTTTAATACATGAGATTCCTTTAAATTAGCATGGGGAATTAGTGTTACATACTTTGGTCTTCAGCGACTGGCCTCCCGTGTGTAATAATCCTCAATAGTTAAAGTTAAAATATCAATGGTTCTTAGACTGTTTTGACCCGGGGACCCTTTTCTATAGTCGAAATTTGCTAAATAAATGCGCTGTAGGTCAGTTACAAATGTAAAAATGTTTATTGAAATTATAACTTTAGTTTAAAATAATGAATTTGTTTTAATTAACGACTTGGACGAGGTTGATGAGATTGCATGGATATATTTATGTCCATCTCAATAATTGTGAGTAGCAGCCCCAAATCTCCACGAAATCTTGAATTTCTAGTTGGTTTCTTTTATTTGTCATGAAGTTGATGGCAACACTGAATCCACATTGTACTAACACAAGAAGACAGGGAAGTAATCAACAACTTTTGTACAATGACAGACATTGACAGATAATGCCAGAATATACAATTGGAAGCTGGTTTTTTGGTGTCCTTGTTTTAAAAAGTTCTTCGTTTGTGGATATTTCAATACGCCGCTCCTGTATTAATATGGATTAATCTGTGATTGGGATCTGAGTTTGTCCACGCGGTTCAATACCCAGTCGGTAATATCCAGGTGAAGAATGACTTCAAAATCTTTGCTTTTGGTTGTCATGTAAGAAGCTATTTCAATGGTATACAGCTTTCTGAGGGCCCTCTTTGGTCGTCTCAGGGAACCGTATGGGTCCACGGACCACAGAGAACCACTGATAATCTGACCCAGTTTAAATTTTCAAGTTAATGACCTTTAAGCCTGTGGACGCGATGGAATAGGAAAGTGAAATGGGTGAGGGGGGGGGGGGGGTTAGTGAAGTTGAGATGTCTCTCTACACTTGCATCTTCTAGAAAAAAAATGTATAATAATAATATTAATAAATTAAGATTCCTATTTATCGTGTGCAAAATGTCAGGCATAGAAAATAAAGATGAACTGTAAGACTTTTCCGCGTGACTAAACACTCACGCTAGGAAGCCAGAGAAATGGTTTGAATTGAATAAATTACATAATCGTCAATGTCGACAGTTTCCGACCCACAAAGCCATATAAAAATCGTGTATGTCCACTCTCGTGAAACTTGTTCAGCCACAATGTGGCGCCCGGGTGTCGCTTATGATCGTTGACGTGTAGCACCAAACTGCTAGTTGACAACTAAACCGCTGTAGACGTATTATATTTTAACTTATGAAACTTAAAATGAATTTAATAACTTGCTTACTTAGACTTAGGTCCTCCCGCGCCGTTCGGCACATTAGGCGGCAAGCTGTCTCCACAAAGATGTGCCACTGGCAATGTCTGAAGCCTCTTGCCACCTGGTATCCACTGTTCTGAGGTCCTCCATGAAGGTGTGGCACCCAGTTATACGATGACGTCCCTGTTTGCGCTTTTCTCGTATTGGCCTCCATGTCGTCGCAACTTTTGGTGTGCGTAGCTCATTTTGTCGGTGAACATGTCCCGCAAACTTCAAGCGATGCTCTATCACAACCTTACTAAGGGGTCGACTGCCAGTTCGGCATAAGATTTCCTAGTTTGAGACCCGATCTTTAAAACTGACTCCTAAAATTCGTCTCAGCCATTTTTATTGAGCCACATTTAGTCTCTTCTCAATTGATGGTTTCCTTTTCTCACATGCATATGTTGCTGTTGGGATGCGCTGGCTCGGACATGTTCGCCGGATGGAGGACAATCGCATCCCAAAAATCATTCTGTACGGGCAACTTCCGTTTGGCTCAAGAAAAACTGGTCGCCCCCACCTCCGTTACGTTGATGTGATAAAGAGACTTATAATCAGTGAACATTGATACTGACCATTGGGAAGACATAGCCTTAGACCGCACTAGTTGGAGAAAGACGGTGACCAAGCTATGGACAGTGAGAAAACATGGGCCTCGATTCTTGAAGAAAAACGTGCCACACGGAAAATGGCCAGCTCCTCTACCACCAAAGCGAAAACCACCTTGACCTGCAATATATGTGGACGGGAGTGTCTCTCCAAAATAGGGCTCCACAGCCATATGAAAAAGTGTTCGAGATGAACCAGTCTTTTCACGACTGAAGGAGGTTAATGAATGAATCATTTTGTTGTTGGGATGACGACTGTGTCAAGTAGGTGTAGGCCTATTTTTGTTTCAAGTCCAATGGCTTGGCTTGTCCAAAATTCTTTGAGAACAATATTATATTACAGTTTGGACATAGTCAACTTGAGAAAGAATACTAAAACACATCTTTTCAGTCAGGCGTTCTGGAATCGTCTTACCTAAGACCGCTGACGACAATGCCGCTTATCTTGCATCATTCACACTTCATAGCTACAATAGAAAGACACACACATATACTACGTCCAAGAACATTTCAGATGTACCTGGTAGAAACGTATTTATTTCATAGCCATTTTTAACTTTTGTCTTGATTTCTGTTCTCATGTAGCCTTGAGTGCTTGTTAAAAGCACTTATATATTAAATTATAATTATGTTGGTTAAAGAGTTTTCTAATATATATATATATTTAGTTAATGGTTGTAAAGCAACCTTCATAGTGTAGTTTTTTTTTTCTTTTTTTGTAGAGTTGTTTCCACAAATGACAATCATGTCAAGAATCCAAAGAGATAATGCACAATTTATATTTCAATCTCAGCAATCCATAGAGATAACACAGTAGAGATGCCAACTTATCCATATTTCTAATCTCATGAATACCAATAGATCACAAAGTAGAGATGCCAACAGATTTATATTTCTATGGGGCACGACATGGCCTAAATTGTGCCGATGTGCCTAAACTCTAACATTTCTATCTCAAGAATCCAAAGGGAGACTATTAGAGTGTACAATGGTTGAAAACCTTAGTAAAAAAAAAGGGGGGGAGGCGAAGGTGAGGTCAATAAAAAAAAATCTCAACAGTAAAACCTTTAAACAAGAAATTCAAAAGAAAAAACTTTAAATTTTGTAAAAATGTTTCTTTCATTTCTTTAAAAAAAAAAAAAATTAAAACAGATGTTTCAAAATATTGCAAACAGTGTCTCTTTACTGTATGTGTTATCCTTCACAAAACACATGCAACACGTGACACAGGTACTTTCACAGCGTGATGTTTTACACACACACACACACACAAAATAATTTGGTACATGATAAAAAAAACAGCCTAAATTGCTAAAAAATAAAATTGTACATAATTTAGAAATCTGTCGATTTGAGTTGAATTTTTCTTTTTATGTTTAGATATTGTTCATAGACTACAATGTCAGACACGAACATTTCACTCAAACATATTCAATACAGAAAAGCAAAAGTATTCAAAGTGAAACTAGAAACAAGCAGAAAAAGGTTGAGAACACAAGAAATGAAACGAATCTTCTTAACCCTTTAGACGCATCTGGTAATTTAGCCTCTTAACACTAGCATTGTAAATCCATTTTGTACGCACTCATTGTAAAAAAGCTCAGCACTTTAAGGGTTAAAAGACTTTTTTGTTACGGTACCATGTTATTTTACTGCCTGCCTGCCCCAAACAAATTTGTACCCTATACAATTCTATTTGAAAAAAAAAAAAATCTCATGGAATGCAAAGATTTGAACTATTACAACTTTTGATCCATATTTTATGCAAGTAAAAAAAAAAAAAAAAAAAAAAAAAGTTGAAACGGGAAACAAGAAATAAAAAAAAACAAACGAACTTGTACCCCCCCCCCCCCCCCCCCACAAGAAAATCAATAAATCACAAGATTACCCCTCCTTCCCCGCACCCTCCAGTTTTTTATGTAAAGAAAAAACAAAGAAAAAAATCCATTACACAAACATATACTTGACACTAGGTGAAATCAAAGTCAGTGTTCAAAGCAATTTGATGATAATAAAATAGTTTTAAGAAATCCAACAAGAACACAAAACAAAATTGTCTTTAAAAAAAAAAAAGACATTTAGAAAAGATTATGGTTTTTCAGTTCATATTGTGTTGAGAAAACAGTGTACTAGCTGCATTGCAAAAGGGGGGGGGGGGGGGGAATCATAATCAAAGTTTGTAAGTTCTACATGAACCACTTATATCTTATATAATACAGATATTGCTTCAAAAAAGAAGATGATTACACAAGCCTAATCACTGACTCATGACTGACATTAACAGCCAAACACTTGTTCCAGCACATACATAAGGTTGACCTGGAAGAGTTGAATCTAAATATAGCACACAAAGAGTACAGAAAGATGACCTGGAAGAGTTATAAAGCTGTCCACCATGTTAAATCTGTTGACATTAATTTTTCTTCCTTCCCTTAAATAAAACTCCACTCCAACAGAGAGTAATGATTGTGTTGTGATTAGAAAATATCACAAATAGTTTGAACTCAAGGCACCTAGTTAAAACTAAAGCTATGGACATTTGTATTTCTGTAGTAATATACGAAGTTACAATGCTGAGTAAAAATCATTGATTAAAAAAATATATTTTTATATAATGTAATTTAAAAAAAAAGAGAACGTGTTTATTAATTTTTTTAAATGTACATGTTAAATGAGCCATATATATTCACAACTAAATGAATTATCCTATCAAGTAATGCTGAGTGTGAAGTCACCTTATAATGGGCGTAGCCATGGGGGGGGGGGGGGGGGGGGGGGTGTTCAACCCCCCCAAAACACCCCCCCCCCCCCCGAAATGAAATCTCCCCCCGGGTGTAGAAATTTAGTGACTGATTTTTTCCTTTGATTTTGTTTATTTTAGGTGAGATTTTAAACCATCACTTGCCCCAGCACAAACAAAGGGTTTTTGAGTTTAAAAAGCCCTACCAGGGATTTTGAGTTTAAAACCCACTACCAGGGGTTTTGAGTTTTTAACCCCCTACCTGGGGTTTTTGCAGTTAACTCCCCCTCTTCTATAAAACAAAACAAAAAAAAATGCAACCGAAAATCCCCCAATTCCAAGAGCACAGTTAAGGAAGATTTTGATTTTAAAACCCCCTCTAAAATTTACGATAAACCCCCTCTTCAACATAAAAAAAAAAGCTAATTACGCACTCAAAATGTTATGAGCGTAGCTAAATGGGTTTTGACTCAGTTTTGAGTTTTCAATCCTACTTCAGCGGGGTTTGAAGGTAAAAAATACCTCTTTAATAATAAAAAACAAAGCAAATTATACACTCAAAATGTTATGAGTGTAGTCAAAGGGGTTTTCAGTTTAAACTCCCTTCCAGTGGAGTTTGAAGCTAAAAAGTACCTCTTTAATATAAATAAAAGCAAATTACTCACTCTAAAATCTATGAGCGTAGCCAAAGGGGTTGTGAGTATAAACCCCCCGCCAGGGGGGTTTGAGGCTAAAAAATACATCTTCAGTGTAAGAAAAAAAGCAAATTACGCACTCAAAATGCTATGAGCGTTGCCAAAAGGGGTTTTGAGTTTAAACCCCCATTCAGAGAGGTTTGATGCTAAAAATACCTCTTCAATATAAAAAAGCAAATTACACATTAAAATTATTTGAGCGTAGCCAATCCAATCGAAGGTTTTGAGTTTAAACCCCTCTTCTACAGATGGCTTTTTTTTTTAAAGTTTAAAACCCCTCCAGATGGTTTTGAGTTTAAGATCCCCCTAACCCCCAACAGATGATTTTGACGATAAAACTTCTCTTTTCGATATAAAATCTAAAGCAAACTACAGTCACTTAATTCCAAGAGCGTATTCAAGAGAGGTTACACATTTTTACCAGTGGCAGGGCTCCATTAATAAACTGCATTGAATAGCCATCTATCGAAATTGAAAAACACTAAAAATTGCTCAACAAAGATGGCTAAGACAGATTTTAGGAGTCAGTTATAGAAATCGGGTCTAAATCAAGGAAATCCTATGCCAAACTGGGAGTCGACCCTTTAGTAAGATTGTGAGAGAGCGACACATGAGGTTTGCAGGACTTATTCTCTGACAAAATGAATTAGGCATAAGAAGAGTTGCAATAATATCCTAGTACAACTTGACACCACGCATTCATGGAGGTCCTCGTGGCAGGTGTGAAGAGGCTTCAGACGATACCAGTGACAGATTGTTATGGAAACAGCTTGACGGCGAATGCGCTGAACAGCGCGGGAGGGTCTAAGTCAGTAAAAATAGCACATTAGGTTTTTGAAAAAAAACTTTTTAATAGCAGGTAAATGCAGTGTAGATACCTCAGAATATGCATTTTTGTTGGCTTTTAATACCAGAAATAGTGCTTGGCGGCGGGGCTTTGCCCCGCGCTGGGGAGCTCCTAGCGCGCTCCACAAGACCCCCTTGCTAGTAATGTCGGGGAGTCTACAATTTTATGGAAACAGCTTGACGGCAAATGTGCCAAACGGCGAGGGAGGATCTAAGTCAGTAATAATAGCACATTAGGTTTTAAAAATAGAACTTTTTAATAGCAGGAAAATGCACTGTAGATACCTCAGAATGGCTTTCAATATCAGAAATAGTGCTCCTAGCGCTCCCCCAGACCCCATTGCTAATAGTGGCAGGGAATCTACAATTTTTCCACTAACTCATGGAAGAACCTATTCTAGGGCACAATAAACGTCTTCCGAAAGAATGAAGGGTCAGAACGTAATATAGATTATATACACACATATATACATATAAATTTTTTTCATGGAGGGGGGGGGGGGGGGCGGGAAGGGGAAGAACCCCCCCCCCCCACCCCCAAAAAATCCTGGCTACGCCCATGCACCTTATCCATACAATAGAATCAATCTAGTAACAAAAAAAAGATGCATATAAATAGAATACAAATATCAAATTACATATATGTAAGTTACAAAGTTGATTACAACAAACAAACAAAAAAAAAAGACACGACTCATCAATGAGTCAAATTTACACATGAGCAGATATGTTTAGAAAGCATCTTCTTATGCCAGATTGTATTGCAGCCAAAGGTCAACTGCATCTCCTTATGCCAGATTGTAAATTTGTCATGGGCACACTAAATCTGGCATGCTAAATCAATGTATATTGCAGTTATCCTTCTATAAGCCAAACAAAACAAATTCAGAAAAAGGTCCTGAGAAAGCATTTCAAAATTTAACTCACAGATGGATCATAGTACCATCTTATTGTCTTGGTGTTGCTTTAATTCTTAAAATAAGTTATGGGTATATTTTTTTCAGAAAAAAAATGGCACTCTAAACTGAAATGTTTGAAAAGAATGAGTGTGGTTAAAAGTTGATGCATTTGAAACACTTGTAACTGGTTGGAGTGTACATAGTGTAATGCATCATAATTTTAAAATAATCACCACACATCATAATTTCAAAATAATCAACACACATCATGATTTCAAAACAATCACCAACTTTTGGCAGCAATTAAATACATAAATATTTAGAGTTCACTGGCAAACAAATTACTTTCACAACCAATCATTGACTCTCGCCAAGAGATATCCAGGCTGCCCTCTTAGAAATATAAAATTGACACATTCCATTTACAGAACAAATATTACATTAACAAAAGCTTTCTTCAGTTGGCATGACTACCATTCAAAGATTTTTTAAGTCAAATATTAATCATCCAATCTTCAACTGCACTTCTACCCAAGGACTTAATAAATTTTGTGAACAGAATAACAGCAATTCTCTTAAGCCCTTGTGAAACACTGATTCTCTGGGGCATTACTAACAACTGCACCCAGAGGCACAACTAGAGAAGACAATGAATGTCACAACTAAGGAAGACAATAAATAAAACAATTCATAACTAAGGAAGACTAAAATTAAATTATACATTATGACAAATTATTGTGCTGTCAGAGCTGACATAAGTATAGAATTACAATCATTAAGCAGTTCTAGATTTTGAACTGCTGAAATTTTTAAATTTTTAAAAAAGAGACAAAAATATTTACATTCATAGAACATGTACAACATTGTACATTTATTTCTTTAGTATTTAAACATGTGACTCATTTATTCACTGCATGTAGCATGCACACTATAAAAAATCTGAACATACAATTAAACTAACCTTTCAAGTGTCACATTCTTGCACCCTGTACGCCAATATGTTTTAGAAATTTGAGATTTCTCTGAGTCAAGTCACAATGACATTAGTTCACTTTCGGTTTCATCAACTCAATGACTGAAACGAAGATCATGGGGGGTCAAAAGTTCATGAGTGCATGCTGTAGTTACCCAGTTTCACAGCAACTAATACATGCCACATTCACACTTTGTTAAAATCCACTATTTCAAAATCCCTCCTAGATCTAAATGTTATGTGAGACAAAATTCAACAGTCTGTGTGGCCAAGAAGTACATGTGGATTATGTTAGCCATCTGTCTGGTATTTCATCTCTCTCATCTGTCCCATGACTTTCATCATAGGGGTGCTGTGACAGTTCATGTAACCAAATCCCTCCATTTTTCCAGGTTAGCAGCTGTTCTTAGTAGGAAATCGAGAGAGAGAGTCCAGTTCATTCTTTTACAATGTCCAGTCAGCTTTTCTGGTATTTAAGTGTCTTATAATCCTAATCAAAATAGTATCCTGCCTCTCAACCATATATTGTTTACAAAGCTAAAATGTATGTTTTTGTCAATATTGTAGAACAACTTGAAAGAAAATACATATAACATTATTTACATAATGTTTAAAAAAAAACAAAAAAACATAACTTTATTC